TCGTTCCAGACCTTTTGTTTGACTGCTCGCGCGTACTTGAATACGCAAAAATACGGACTGTTTTGCAGTCTACCGTCGTATAACGGTCGTACAAAGTTACCGCGGTCAAAGTTACGCATAGAGACTCAAGGCAGTATTATTGAGCTCCTTGTGGTTTCTTGTTTATACAAATGATCGGCCCATTGTGATCAAGCGCTCGGAGGTATCTGTTGTGGTTCATTTTTATCCTTGGTTTAAATTGTATTTCCCTTTGTTTTAGGGTATGGTAATGAATGATAATGAGTTCAATGCAAAGAGAAATAAAATTTAAACCAAGGATAAAATTGCACCAATTGATATCCCTTCAGAAACCAGCTGACAATGTGCAAGGGATTATTTCTTTACGACGAAACGTTTACCAGTGCAGGCCATTTGGTTGCTTGATCTGGTCAAGCCGTAGTCCATCCTCTGATTCTGCCAATGATTACACAAACATCTGAGCATGAGATGTTCATTTCGGAACACCTCCCAATGTTGTTACTTACCAACAAATTTGGGCGGGGGAAGAAAATATGTCGCTGGCGATACCATTATTGAAATATTCCGCCTATGCCCCTGTTCGACCTTCTACGTCAAAATGTATTCTACACAAACTTTAACGAAGAAAAAGTGTTATTTCAGTAGATCACATCAAAATGAATGCTAGTTTATTTGTAGGCTTCGAAAGATCATTCTTAAGCAGTAAGTTGTACACGCTGTCATGCTTATGCGATAGTTTTTCATCAATAATTCTAAAAATTCTGCTCTGATCTAACTGTTCACGCCGGATGTCTTTGTTAACTCTCCCATAACTGCCCAACCTAAAGGGCCTCTTTCACGCGTAGCTTTCCTTTCCAGGTAATTAAAGGGACTGGTTCACGATAATGTGCATGCGCGCCGTTTGTCTCTTCAGAATAAATTTGTTGGGTCAACACTAAATTCGAAATCGCCATTACCGGTACAATCATTGAAAATCCTTCGTTTTATTCGGACATCCGTTGCTTTGGCTGGTCTAGTTATACTTCGGTAGTGGTGATTCACGTGTGGTTGTGTCGTCTGACTGGTTACGTTTTAAGAAGACGCAAAAAATAATGTTTTGATCATGGAGGTTCAGAAGAGCATCGTGGCCGTCCGGCAAGAGGACGTTCTCAAGAGTCTTTGGAGATAGAGAAGCTTAAAATATCGATCTGGTATGGTTCTAGGAGTAGTGTGTGGCTAACGAAAAGAATACACGACACTTGGAAAGTGGTTAAAGGCATGAGTTCGTTCAACTTTGATTTGATTTTTGACTCCGACCTGTAGTTATACTGCAACAGGCCGCGCGATCTTCACCGATCTGGTACACTTGAAATGTTCCTTGTATCTTTGCTTTACGATCGTATATGTTTAAGAATTGATGTTTTTAAAATAAATTATTCCCTGAATATTCTGTTTATAATCTAGTTTCTTTCTGTGTGCTACTCGATAACATTTGTTTTGCGGAACACTGACCCGATGCAACGCGAATGAATTTGTTCATTTGCTGATAAGCAATTGAAATTTATACTCAGTTAAGGATAATCTTCATACTCATACGTTGTGTGTTTTTGTCACCGGTCAGACGCTATTTGTAGGTATTTGTGGGTTTGTATAAGACGAACTGAGAGAACAGTAACAAGATGTTTGTTTACAAATTTTGTTTGCCGATCGGCGACTGTTTTGTTAGCGTGGGTACGACCTCGTAAAAATACACGTTGGTAAATGTTTGTTTCAAAGCAGGACAGGGCTGTAAATCTTATTCTTATCGACTGCAACATATATCTGAGGAGTAGCAAAGAATAAACTTGAATTATGGGGATAAATAAAATCAAACCAAATGCCCGTAAATACTCTCGCGTAGCGAACAATTATTTGAATTTTGTAAATTTACTTGCGTGCATCTAACTCGCTTCCGATTGGTTGAAAAACAATCAGCTACTGTCAGAACTGACACATGCGCATTATCGTGAACCAGTCCCTTTAACCCCCCCCCGAAGGTACTCAGTGGGGAGCCTCCGCCCCGAGATACAATCCTTACCCTTTGGTATACAGTCAAACCTCTTTAATACGGACACCAAAGGGGCAGAACCAAGTGTCCGCTTTACAGAGGTGTCCGTATTATAGAGGTAGGGAATGCATGATTTTTGGCTTTTCTGGGACCAAACGAACTGTCCGTAATAGATTAGAGAGGTGTCCGTATTATAGAGGTGTCCGTAAGGAGAGGTTAGACTATACCTTTTGTTGACAAATGGTACCCGTTTCACAAACGTAGTTTAAAAGTAGGCATCCCCTTATAACTGCTGTAAATGCACTCGTCTGTCTTTAAAATATGAACAAATCACAAAACAAAGACGCTCTCTAGACTTTTTCACAGCTATAACATTCATCCGGCTGTTAGCCCTTTGAGGCCTTTTTACAGACCGAAATGACAGATTTCCCTACCCTTTGATATACTTCAACTAGTAAAATCCCTATTCTTTCTTATACCTGAAGCCCCAAAAAAGCGGTACCCCTTTCAGGCGGGGCCTTCCCGGATAGTATCCCCCACCCCCCTGGCTAAGACCATAGCCACGCTAGACATGCTGTCCATGTCAAGTGGTCTTTGATAGGTATTAGCCTCTGAACTTTACAAATGAGCAAGATCAACGATGAGATAAAAATGTTTCACTACTTTAATTTCGGGGCAGTGATAGTACCTGATCTACAAGATGCTTGAAAAGTAAAAATACGAACAACGTGGATTAGTAAAGTTGAAAGCAGAAAAAGAGATTTGGAACTTTCAAAGTTTTTCAAGGCTTTTGCTGTCAGCTTTGATAGTCATTTCTTAATATTGATGAACAGAATCAGTTCTATTTTTTACTATAAGAATGTAACTGTCTAAATCAGAGATTAAAAGTTTTTATCCATTTAAACGACCTTGGGGAAGGCGTGAGCAGCTTAAAACTAATGAAATTCACTCTCTTATAACAGGAATCGGCTCCTGCTTATAGTTTATAATTTTATTGTTATCTCTTCTGCGTAGCCTCCCTCTCCACAATGGGGAGGGATGAAAAACGAGCTCCCCTAAAAACGCCTGCGTGGGAGGCTGTCTTCTGCGCGGAAGTAATAGGGCGCTGATGATGATTTCCGCGTCAGTCACTATCCGACCCGTAGTCCTGTTGTCGAAAATTCACACTTTATCTTAACTTGCAATATGCACCTGGGTCTATATATCGCACCTTCCTAAGCGGTCATAGGGAGGTGTTTTAAAAAGAAGGGGTATAGCAAGAGGGGTTTCAGGGTGGGTTGGGGGATTCATTTGAGCTTTTCCTCTACTTATACCTGAAAAGACTGCAGTTTGGGTTATTTTAGAAATCGAGCGCCATATTTTCTGACGGGCTTGCAGGATGATCTTATACCTTACCGGAATAAGCTAGTATAAAGTAAAAGTTATGGTTTTAATTGATCCTTGGTTTAAATGTAGTTTTCCTTTTCTTTATATACTCATTACTATCAGACTAAAAAACAAAAAAAAGCAAACTAAATTTGAACCAAGGATAACACTAAACCACAACTCACCAACATACAGTGTATAATAACCATCCGCACTGGGATAGCAATTAAGGGTTACAGAACTTTTCCAGGGGTACGCAGTTTTCCAAGTCAGCCCCACCCCATCGTTTTCCTGCGGATGACGTGATTTTTCTTTCGTTTTTATCATTTTAGTGAGGCTATCATCTTTCTTAGTCTTAGGACCGTGTCCTTCAGGCAGCAGTTAAGGCTACTGCGGGTGGAAAAAATTTTGGGAAAACACCATTTGAAAAATGATCTGAATGAAGCAAAAGTGGTGTTACATAGGCAATTGCTTCGTTTTTCGGCTATCCCTCATTAAGTTTTTGTCCCTTGGCTTTATTCATGTATTCTGGTTTGGATTCTCGGTTCCATGTATTGAACATTTTTTTCAGGTACGCACATGCGCACTAGCGTACAGGTAGCCACGCAGGGTCTTCCCGTTTGCCACCGACATATTGGAAAACGAGAAGACCCTGGGGACGAGGTTTGGCCTTTGCCGAGGAAGAAACGCTCGTATCCTTTGAGTCAATCAACATTTAGAATTTCGCTCTCAACACGCAGTTCAATATCAAAACGTACTATAAAGGCAAAACACACACACACACACACACACACACACACACACACCCCAAAAAAAACAGCACGGAGTTCGAATATCAAAATAAACCAAAGGCAAAAAAGAAGAAGAAAAATGCATGGTTACCTTTACAGCACTTTTTAATTCGACTCTTACATTCCGCAATTTACTTCTCGGATTGAGTGTCATTCAATTTACATATCATGAGAAAGGTATTGATAATAATACATCACGACTGGTTTCACGTACAAAGATAAAATATCCAGATATTTGGTGCCATCGTTCACTAACTAATGCAAAATATTCTGTAATGTAGGCACATTCTTCCATTACCGGTATACAAATTTATGGAAAACTTCAAAATGCCACGAGCGTAGAAGACTATTTTCTCGTCGCCTTCGTCTACTGAAATTGTAATTGTACTTCAATTCTATTTCAACTTGACATCTTAGAAAAAATAATGATTATAAAACACCACACCAACGTTCTCGCTAGTGAGAATCCTCATGAAAAAATTTAACATCCATTATCTTGCCGACTTTCGTTCACAAAGCGATTAAGGTATAAGTAAATCGTAATAGTCCAGTTTCGACCTGAAAATTACCACTGAATACAAACAGGTAAGTCTGGTAAGTGTTTGAAATTTGAAAATACACAATAGACAGAGTAACAAACAGGTCTCCTTCTCGTTGGAATTTGTGAATATACCTACGTCAGATGGAGGCAAAGCCTGTAAAAAATGCGTCTTCACTTCTTCTATTCAGCGGTCATAGCGAACTCGAAACTGGGCTACTCTACTGTAAATAATATAAAGGTGTTTTAAAAATGACTCAGTTCAAGACGAATTCGTCCGACGAACTCGCTTGTTTCGTCTAATGGCGCTATCACTCACTCCAGGCCGGCTGCTGTGACACACGTTGCCAACATACGACACATCCACATATTTTCCTCTCTCTTTCTGGATGACAAATCGCACTTTCACATTGCACTCTGGTCGCTTGCATTCTGCGCCTCCTCTGAAGAAAACCGCGGAGTGGATTTTGCGCGAGTTTTCTGATCTCACGTGATTATTTTTGAAGCGCAAACTGCACCATGGGTTGCTTTCTTTGACTTTTTCAAGGAAGATTCTTGTCCAGTCGCCACTCAACAGTCGGCCACCGCTTGGGAAGGTATTTATTGGAATCCTTTCCCAGTCTTCACGTGTCAGCTTGAACCTCGTTGTTGTGCCATCAATGTTCCATCGAAAATATCTATCTTCTCGTTCGTCGTCATCGTCGTCAGATGAATCAGACTCAAATTGTTGACCCTTAAAAGATACAAAAGCGCGTATTTGAGTTAAATGGCCGAGAAATCAGAAACTCCAGTAGAAATCTAAGATTTCAGAGTGAGTGAGAGTGACAGTTATATTTCTTCATGAATTTGTCAATTTTACCAATTACTCTGCAAGTCAAAGCTTTCGTTAAAAAAAAAAAAACAATCAAATAACGTAAAAACGTCGCTTACCGCAATATTAGAGACGTTTCGCCAATTTTTTGAGGCTAGCGAGTAAGGTGTATTACCCTGCAAAAGAGACAAAAAAACATCATTGATTGCTTATGTAAACAGTATTACAGTAAAGGTAGTGAAAACTTGGGGAACTAGTTTTGTTGATCACGTGATCAAACGAAACCAGAGGCTCTGGGGGGCAAGAATTAACACAACAGGGAGGAGAAGTGACAACGCCAAGGTACCATGGTAGCAAAATTTCTGGATCTCAACAATCCGTGGTACTGCAAATGTGGCAGAAAAAGACAAAAATTGACATGTATGACTTCTCTTCGCATGATTGCTCTCAGGAACAAAACGATAGCCCATACCTTTCCTTCCATCGTTCGGCAATGCAAGTGGCCATCTCTGGTCAAGAAAGATTGTTGAGATTCAGGAATTTTGGTACCATAGTAACGTTACATCACACTTCCCCTTTTTAATGATAGGCTTCAAAAAAATTACTTCAACCTATTGGCCGACGTTAAGCCAACATGTTACAGTGCAGGTAAACGTTAACTAGTAATTGTAATAGAGCATCGCTTACAGCAAACGGCAAAAGGCAAACGTGAATTTGTACCACGTGACCAAGTTTCCCCTTTACTTGTCGTTTGCTGTTCATTATAACTGCGCGAAAATCGGTAGATTTACGCCAACTCAATCCATAAAAATTGTTTTAAGGTGTTTTGGCTGTTCATTTGTCATTTTGAAAATTTCTCAACCTGAATCTCACACTTGCCGTTTGTCGTAAACGCGATGCTTAATACCCAACCTCGTCCCCAGGGCTTTTCCCATTTTTTGAGGGAAAAGCCCTGGGGACCAGGTTACTTAATACCATAAGAAATATTAAGGGCTGTTTACGAGACATCCGGTGAATACCGTTCGATCAACCCACTTTTATACTGGGTCAATCTACTGCAGTTTTACGAGCAGCATCAACATTTCACGGCATAAAAATCTTGCAGATTCAAATTTTCTCGGTATCCATGTATCCCTCATACGTTGCTTTTGTTTCTTAAGGGAAGTGTGGTTTTTCCTTTTGCGCTCAATATTTACGTATCATTTGCGTAAAATTCAATCGGCTTCCCATGTTACGAATCGCCAGCCTTTAAATTCTGAAAAGTCAAAACATCTGTGGTGACAACGTCTTTCATTACAATTAAGAACACAATCTGGGTATACATGCACACTAGACTGTGGAATACAATGGGATACTAACAGCGGAAGAAGAGAAGAGGAACATCGTAGTTGAAGACGCAACTTATGTAGCTACGAAAAAAAGCCTGAAAAAATCAAGGCTTGCCGAAATCAGAGAGGCAAACAATCTGGCCATAATTTTTCTAAGAGTGAAAGGGTTAAGCTAACGCCGGCAGTGACTTACTAGGGACATTACGATCCAACAACATCGACGTCCATGAAAACGTCGCTGAAAAATAGACTTCGCAATCGTTTTACTCTTTTTTTTGTGATTATCCCAAGTCGTCCGGTTACTTAAAAGAAAGGAATTTGGATTAGAGTTAAAGAGAATTAAGGCACCACGCCTGAGTTCAGACAGAGATGGTAGAATTTATCGCCTTGCCCGGTTCCCGTTCTCGAGTAAACTTAACATTTGGTCATTTCACGTCGTACTTGTGCAGGGACGGCAAAGAAATGTACAGAAAAGCGTGATGCACGTGCAGAGTGTTGTTTTTGTCACTAAACCTATTTAACAATTAGTTCATGCGGCAGCGTGCGTATGTCGAGATATTGAGCACGCGGGAAGTTTGGAGAGCACGAAAGAGGCGTAAGAGTTGCACGAGGCGCAGCCGAGTGCAACTCTAGCCTTTTGAGTGCTCTCCAAACTTCCCAAGTGCTCAATATCTCGACATACGCACAGCTGCAGCATGAACTAATTGTTTTATAACATTATCAAAGCGATCAATGCAGCAGTTAACTGAAAATTTTAAGCAGTACGCGTTAATGATTACGTGACTATATTTTTTTTCCTCACAGTTAATCTTATGTTTTTATCCTGAAACTGAGAGAAAGTGTACTCTAAAATGATTGCAAAATCCATATTTAGGTGCCGGAAAACTTTTAATTTACCGAAAAATTGTTATTGAGAGAAAACAACTTTGCAAAGAATGATCTCACGCCATAGCCCGCACAGCTCGCCGAGATGACAACAACAACAACACTCACCTCTTTTCCTTACTATCGGTTAACAAATTCAAACCTTTCCTCTTAAATTTCCTTATAAAACACATGGTAAACGCTTCATTGTCTATTGCTGAGTTATGGATGCACTCGGGAGACTCAGGATTGCTAAGCTCCCAACAACTCGAGGAATTACGAATAGTTTATTGACGTCATCAGCGTGCTCAATAGGAATATGAAGCACGCTCGCGCTATTGAATTTGATTAGGCGAATTTTCTAGCTATGTTATAATGTTGTTTTGTCGTTCCCGTTGCGGTCACCGTCGTAGTTTCGTAAGACTCCTACTAAAACACGCAAGAAACCTCAACTGCCGTCCTACCTTCAAAGGCATGTGCGACGTCCCAGACGCTATGCTGTTCCAGTTTACAGGAACCATAATAACTGATGGGCGCTGGCTTTCTAAACCAGGTGGAAGGCCGTAGTAAGGGTTACTCTGCGCTGATGAATGGCAGCCACACTTACAGCACTTATATATGGCGTTCATGGTATAGTTTAGCCCTGCGTCGTTTATCTGTCCCTGGTTAAACCTGAGGGATTCGCCAGAATTGACAACCTGACCACCTAGAGACTCCGATACTTCTGGTTGATAGTTCCTGACCTGATATCGTGGTTCCCCTTCGATGAGTCTTGCCTGTGAAGCTGCCATTTCTTTCACAGTACCCACGTGGTAAAGAGGGATGTTTTCGTTTAAGATCTCATTTGACGACGGAACCTTGCTGATGCCAGTTTGATAAGATGATGCCGTTTCGTGGGTGCCATTCTGGGTGTCAAACTGGTTTGCCCGCATCGCCTTGTCGTTACCCATCTGATATACTGGAAACATGGATTCGTTATTCGCTTGAAAAGCTGAAAATACCGTTGTTGAACCGCCTGCAGGGTGGTTTTCCGCACTTGATACTTCTTCGTGGGAAGACCTTGAATGACAATATATTTCTTTCTCTTTTTCTGCTATATCGGCCAATTGTATCCCATTGTAAAATCTAGTTTGACTTATGGGAGATCGCAATTCATTCTCCTTAGAATGAGTTTCCTTTTGTGTGGCTGTATCTTTAGCGAATTCCACGTCTTGATATAATTCTTGAACCTCTGATACACTGTTCCCATGGTTGTTGTAACGAAAATTTGATTTGAGTTGTTTATCACTAAATAGCGATTTATCCATTTGGTTTTCTTTCTGCTTGCCTAAAAACGGTATTTCTTCATCAGAACCATTTTGGAATGGAAGTGAACCTTGAACATTACTTATTTGGATATTCAATACGTCATCAAGGGCTCGTACTTCTACAAAGGAATGTTCCGCATAGCCTGCTGAGGTAATGGGTAAATTCGTACTCTCTTGGCCACTCATGTTGCAAGATGTCTCTGTTTCTTCTTGCTTAACAGTAACGGGAGTTTCAGTTGTGAAGACAACCATTTCGCTGCTGGTTTCGCCGTTCCTTGTGGAAGTCCTCTCTTCCTCTAGTTCTATCTTTACACAACTTTCTGCCATTGTTTTTTCTTGATATACCTTCTCGTTGCCTTGGTTTCTTGATTTTTTGAGATGCTTCCTTTTACATCAAAGTTAAGCGGTGGTGAAGAAACTAAGCAAAATAATAGGAACATTGTTAGTTTAATTGGAGTTTAATTGGAGTGAGAGTAAGCAATGGAATCAATCTGACCAGGTTATTTATAGGCACAAATTATTCTAGAAGCTAAAAACAGCTTATTATGCTCGCTTCTAATTCTGCTCGGATCTAGCCATTCATTCCGCATGTGATAAGCTTTACCATATATTCTTGACCTAAGGGAGCTCTACGCCGATTACGGAAGACTTAAGATCCCACTCAAACCATCGCAGCTTACGTAAGAGTATTAATTAGCAAAGTTAACATGTGAGTAAAAGCAACATAAGACGACGGAGAGCATAAAAATGCCATATTTTGATTCTTCGGCAGACAGTAATTGAAAATTATTTAAATTACATACTGAAATAATTCCTAAATGTAGTCGAGTAAAGGAGGAAAGATTTAAAAGAGAAAGGAAAAAACTCCAAACACCTCTATTTTTCGCAGTGCCTGGTAAAGTTGTGCTGATTTTCAAAACTGGAAATTCTTTTTTTTTTTGGGGTGTTTTCCTAAGCATATTTTTTTAAAAAAATACATATTTTAAGCTGATATTGTTTTAGAATTTCAAGCCTCGCCCGTCGCGTTGTTTCCTTAAACAACAAATTTAATTTACTTTGTCTCTCTTCACCCAGGTGTATAGATGGGTACCGGCAACATACTGCTGGGGGGTAACCCTGCGATGGACTACCACCCCGTCCAGGGGGGGAGTAGCAATATTCCTGGGTTTGCTTCATGCTTCGGAAACCGGTATAAGTTCAGGTCATGTGGGCCTTTGCCTCGTGTGCGCCTTTACCTTCTTGTTTTAGAATGGAACTCTTTCTAACTCCATGCTTAACCCTTTACAGCGGTGATTATATTGGCGTGAACACCTAAAATATGTCTGGATTGTTTATTGTGTTACAACCAATCACAGGTGAGATCTTCACAACACAGAAACCACAGGCAAAGAACGGTTTCTGATCGGTCATGGAACAAATTATTTTCGTTTTGTTTAAGGATACAAACTGCCTTATTAGGAATTTAAAACACCGCTGTTCCCCAAGATCAGTGCCGAGGACAAGGGGATTCGATTTGTGTGAACTAACGATTGAACCTTCGAACTACTATCTACTACCTACGATCAGGCGTAACTACCGATTTCGATCGTTACAAAAAGTTTGAAAACTCGCGCGCCAAACCGTCGGGTGCGTAGGCCCGGCACATCGGCTTTGTAATTTATTTCAAAATCGCGCAAACCTGTATTCTCCGCTATTATAGCAAAAACTGTAAACAAATAGGAAGGAAAAGCAATTGTTTACTTGTAAAAAGACTGAATGTTAAAACAAAATGAAAATAATTTGTATAACCGAGAGGCAATTAAAGCTAGTGAAAACTGAAATTAAATAAATTGTCCAAAATACGGAGACCGCCCATTGAAAAGTCTCTGGTACCTGGGGTACGAAAATGCTCGACTTGTTCATAAAACTGAAATTCCTTCTTCCCCATGCAATTTTTATTGTGGCGTCAATGATATTACTTGGAGAAAATTAAAGTGTGTGATCAGTTTCGTTTGCAAAACAGGATTCGAGTCGATCAAAATGAAGTGGAGAGTACACTTAACGTTACAGGTAAATTTGAATTCACACACTCAGTTGTAAACGCACTGCACGTTATAAGTAGTGTACAAAATGAGCGTTCTGAGTGCGGTGGATTATGGTGGATCCACAGTTTCGGTGACGCCATAGGTAAAAATAGGTCTATACTTAGTGGAGCCTCGGTGGTCTTTCATATTGAGATCACGAGCTGGGCAAAAATATTTCTTCATAAAGCTATCGATAAAGATAGAGAAATGATTTACTAAGTAAAACGAGATACCAATGGCGATCTAACACCGAATGGATTTGGCTATAACACACGTTCAACTGATCCCTTCGAAAATAAAACCTATAATATGCATAATTACCAGTCGACTTCAGAACCCACATAAATTCACTGCAGAATTCCAATTTGTCTAGTACTGTATTTCGAGATGTTCATTGCCCATCGGTTCCATGCAGTTCAACTTAGTCTGTCAGGTTCAATTGAATTTATCCGGCATCATTGTGTAAAGTAATTATTTGTGAGTATTAATTAAAGAAAAATAAATATTCAACAGTAAGGATAAAATTGAATACTAATATTAAATATAAATTCAAAGCTTGATCGTCCAAATGGAGCTCAAACGATCATTCGAGTAAAGTACGTAACTGGCAAAAAGCTGTAATCGACCTTTTATTGACACGCGAACTAAAGTAAACCAGTGTCAACCTTGCTTTTTTTTTGTAATACAGGACAGTGCCGAAGTATTGCCCAGTTAAGTGATTACAATATAAACATATCGGCAATAGTTTGGTCTTAAAAGCCAGTGCCTCGTTGTTCAACAAATAGTAGCAACAGGTTGAAAAGAGTAGAGAGCCCTTCTCTTTTCTCGTTCAATGAAGTGATTATACAAGTTGGAATGCCCACTTATACAACATTCAACATGGCATGAGACATTTTGTTGATCAACAAATGTGAAACTTCAAAAGTAGGTTGAGTTTGATCGTCCGGGCGAACGTAGTCCTTAATAGGACTGTTGTTGTTGACAGTGCCTTATACTTGTGTTTGTTTTGTTCTAGAATATCAACAATTCTACTTACTTATGTTAAATTTTTCAGACAAATTTTAATGCGGCAGCTAGCTCACAGATCAAGAGTTGATTGATTGTTGAACTGACAAAAAAACCTTCAAGTCATTTCTTCTTTCATTTTTAAACAAATAATGTTGTATAAGTCTTTCACCAGTAACAAAGAAATAAATAGTACACGTTTTTGTGCCGGGTGGCAGAAAAAGCAATAGGGACAGCTCACAAATGAGTCCAACTCTCTCCACTTCAAATTTTTATGGATTATATATTCACCAGCGACATTCAAAGATATTTAACTCATAGAATCTCTATTTGTCACCTGTTAGAATTTCAGCGATTGGAAATCATTAAGCGTGTCATGATATCAAACTTAGTAGGGAGTTAAATGCCTTCGAAATGAACTCTTATTTCAGGGACCTACTGATACTGCGCGTGTTAGAATGTACTCCATCAACATGCTAAGCCCGCCTTGATGTATATACGTATTGCTTATAACCCAGAGGAGAAGCATCGACAATTTCAAGCTACTAAAACAGTCAGACCTCAAGGTGCATTAACTTCGATGTCCTAAAGGCTTATTGGTACTTAAACAGCTACGATGTAGAAGTAAACGCTCGTGCATCTTTAATTTTCTTCTCGCACTTACACATGCACAAACAATAAACAACTTAGTGAATTGCTATGCACTGAGTATAAGCCCTTGCGTGCACTAAGACTGATCCACCTTGTAACAGCGCACAGAAGATGTCATTAATAACAGTAGAGGGTAGCTGTCTTGGTGAAACGAAAGACCGGGCCAGAAGTGGGAAATACACTGTATTAAGTTTAAGGTTCCATTCAATTTATGTAAATTTCACAAGTCAGAAGCTCTCATCCTTCTATCACGCAACGAAAAACAAGCAAAATGTGGCCTTCTTAGACTCTAAAGTCTGGTTTTCCTGGGTTATTTGTGCACAGTGAACCACACAACTTCACAACGTAACTGTTTTCTTGCACCAGTCAGGGAAAATAAAATAAGTGATAGGAGTCAAAAGGCCTTTTTATTAAAATCGACTTCACGTGTTGTGATAATTGAGTCACCAGAAGGCTAAAACAAATTTATTATATTTTAGGAATGTAGGGGCAAAAATCATCAGAAGAATGATTTTTCCAAGTATGACATCAGGCAGTGAGAAAACAGAGAGAAAACAGTCGGTAGAAAACCGAGCTTCTTTGGGAATTCTTTCTACACATTCCTGTTGCTATGAAGGGCGGATTGAAATGGCTCACTGCACAAATGCACATTCAAGTTGTTGTTCATTTAGATCAGGTATTTGATAAGTCAAAAGTAAAAATGGGCGGTTTTTCAGTTAAAATGAAACAAGTACGTAATAAATGTATAAAATCATTGTTGCTGTTTCATAAGGCACAAGATAATAAACGTGAGGCGCGCCTTTATGAGGCTTTTGTTCTACAATACATCCGATATAACTACAGACCCATAGCGCTTCCAATACATTCGAAGTCTGAGAAATTTCACTGGCTACTGCTTAAAACATACTTGATCATACTTGTCTACTCCCAGTTTGTAAATCTGCTGTTTAGTTTTAAAGCGGGTCATCCCGTGACTGATTCGCTCTATTGCAAGACACCTTTTTAGTTTCAAAATGTGTGACCGTCCGTCCAGTGTTAAACTCTGTACAGCCCTGTACAGCCGAGTCCGTTAGCGAATAATTCTACAATTAATCGAATCAAAAAGTGCTTTTTGACGTACTATACAGTTCTTTGGAAATATTTACACTATTCCATCGACCAATGCGCGCTAAATACTTTTGAAAGATACTATAAGCATTGAACGCGAAGGAATACGATTCCGTGATTGAGTCACTCCGAAGGCTGTGACACTGACCAACACTCCGGTCAAAATTTCTTCACGATCATCTGAATCTGAGTAGTTTTTCTCGTCTGTTCGGGCCTTCTTAGAATTGAAACGGTAACAATTGTTATAGCAGTTTAAAGTTGTATTTTTTCCTTCATAAACAGCAGATTCAAACTTGCCTACGTTGAATGCTTTTCAACTGCGCACTCAAGTGTTACACACGCTATGACGGATCAAAATACATATGCCCTAACGATCAACAACTTTCGGATATTTGTGAGTATTCCTTTAAATTCGAAACATTAAATGTTTCCCTTACAAGTGCTACCGTTCGTATTAAGACTAGTGGAGACGGTCTTTGCTAAAAGAAAGAAAAAACTAACTAAACTGACCTTATTGCCTTGAGTGAGTCGGGCCATGTCGAGTGAGTTTAGTTCCACAGTGACAGATTCCAATCTCAACACGAGGGGTGGGGCAAGGACATCTGTAATGAGTCATGTGCTCCAGGTTAAGTTGGAGTGGGAACAAAGGTCACAGCGGAGCAAACCTCCTATGTTGACGGAGCTTTGGCAGGGTGTATCATGAAGGTATTGTTTATTTGGCGCAGGGATTCCTATGCTAGTTTTATTAATAATTTAGAATGCAGTTGAAGTTCTTTAGCGGAATGCTACTAACAAGGTTTAGTTAAACTAAAACAAGAGAGACTAAAATAGTAATATCAAAACAGCAAAGATTTTCTTATCTTGATAATCTAGAGCTGGCTTAAAGCAAAGGGATCCTCTCTAATGTAACAAGGATTTGTTAGTTGTGCAGGCAAATACGGAACGCCACAAAGTAATAATGGCTTTATATCTCTCTCTTGAAGTAACTACAATATTACACCTTATATAACACTTGCGGTTGAACACACTATTGTTGCATTTTTAACTTTGAAATTTCTGAGTCTATCTGCTTTGACTGCATGCTCCTATGTCATTTTGGCTCCTTAAAGTTGCGGCAAACCAAAATCGTTGGAAAGAGCAAAATCATTGGAAAGAACGACTCATAACAATCATAAATCGCGGGGCTGCATTTAATCTTGAATTATCTGCCAATGCCCAGCTGAATGCCGGTCGAAGTGGGTTAAAACCTACTGATTACATAATATATAAATTGATACAAAAATTGTATACTGTTGTATGTTCACGTTCTTTTTCTGCTTCAATATTCTACTCAAGAATACATCCACACTGACGGCTCTTTTGATCTTTTTTAAGTAGCCACCGTGTCAGTGCCAGAGGCTGGCCTTTTAGAGCCGGCTTCTGACTAATAATAAAATGCCATGGCAACCCTACTTTGAAAGCGAGTATTTCCTATCGATTCCACGGCCGCGAGTATTTTCAATTGTGCTATATTGAACGGACAGTCAAAACTCGTGACTATGGACATCTTTTTGAAATAAGGGCAGCTCTCTTACTCTTACTCAAGCCAGCAAACATTGTGCAATAACATTGTGCTTCATCACGAGGCGCCCGAAAGGGGTAGCGGGCTCTCTGATTTCAGGCTTCAGTAATATGAAAGGGTAAGAATTTCACCAGTTGAAGTATATAATGGGTAGGGGAATCTGTCATTCCGGTATGTTACAGGACCAAAAAGGTTACAAGGCGCATCTTTTGAATGTGAAAAAGACTAGAAAACTCCCTGGTTTGGATAATTATTCATATTGAATTATTGCATTTACAGAGAATTATTATAATTATTATTATTGTTGCAAAACAGATGCAGCGTTTTAAACTAGTACGTGAAAGGGGTATCATTTGTCATCAAAAGATATACCAAAGTGGCCGCTTTTCTGTCGAAAATAGTCATATTAAAGGGTTAGGTATTGGACCTTGGGGCGGAGCCTTTCTGTATAAAATTTTGTTACATACCCTCCAGGCCATTTTCCTTGCCACGTTTTTGTACGTATTCAAGTAAAATGTAAAATGCCATTCTTTGCTTTTCTTTTGGCTGCCCCTAACCGAACCAAAGCCGAAAAACGAAATTAACTGAAATTTTCTAAACCGCAAATGTATTTAATCTTTGGCATTACCACGACTTCAAACAGTGGTCACGTATCAGACCTCTGACATAGAACTGAAGTTGTAAGGAAAGACGCAAGCCAACAAACATGTATGGCAGAAAATTATCCCGGCCAGTGCGGAGATAAGGCCGAGAAAAAAAATGTTTGTCGTCCCCGACCGCCCTTTTCATATTTTGGGGCCGCCTCTTCGCTTTTATTGATTGTTACTGGAAAAGCTAGAACAAACAAAACCCAACGGTCTTACATTCACAAAACAAAGCAGTTATGCAAAGATAATACTGATTCCTAGCTCCTGGTCCTATATTGATGTTTTTTTGAAAATACACTCTACCTGCGCTTCACGTTGTTTAAAACGTGACTGGGACTAATAAGAAATCGGAAATGCCCTCCCCCTCCCACCCCCCAAAAAAGCACTCACCCGTTCATCTTTTTCAGAAATCCGGTTGGTGAAAAATTTGCTTTTTTTACTTGGTCTAGATTAAAAACGTTTAAGCAGTATCTTTAGCCCCCGAGTGGACGAGGAAGTACCAAGAGCCATAATATGGCTCTTGGAGGTACAAAAATGTAGACAGCAGACGGTTCACAGTCCCCTATTTTTTCGTGAGATCGTTTAGATATACCGCGTCTTACCGTCACGGCTATCTTGATTTTCAAATGTACCGAGGGGGCGGGCGTCGGGGATTATAGTTCGGGTGGGGGAGGGGGGCGAGAAAAATAGAGGGACTGTAAAACATTACTGCAGTTCGCGTTCACGTAGACTACGAGTAGTCTCCCATTTTTCCTCAGGGATAGTAGAGCGAGGGAAAAGCGAGCGCGCGTTCTCGCGAGACCTGTTTCACTCGCTTGCTCTCAGGCTACTCGCGTGGGGTGATTTTCACGCGCGCTCGCGTTTCGCACGCTCTACTATCCCTGAGGAGAAATGGGGGACTACTCGTAGTCTAGCGTTCATGGGGCGCGGTGTACCAGCAACGCAGGCGTTAGATTGGTCATTAGACAATTTAGGTTGACAACGGGTTTAGTTTAAGTTGCCGACATTGACAAGTCGTTGACAAGTCGACGTTTCTATTAAACGTACGCTTTCATACCATAAGGTACATCTTGCGCAAACACACGAAGGATTTTTGGTATTTTGATTAGGAAAATGTTTTCTTGTGCATGTTTGCCGATTTTATTTCGAGGAATGGCCCAGAAACATTATAAAATCACTGTTTCGAAAGGAGATATTTGTAAACACGCGTTATCGATGCTAAATGTGTCTGGCATGTTTTTCATAGCCTACGAAGCAGGCGCTGGGAAGTAGCGGGCGAAAGAGGGAACGGGCGCGCGCGAGGGAGACACGCGTGTCTCCTCGCGCGCCCGTTTTTTCTTGTGCCCACTACTTGCAAGCGCCTGCTACGCAGGCTATGTTTTTCATTACCAGCGGAGTTTCTTAATTAATGAATGGTAAAAGGCGTGAAATTCCTGTCACGCCTCCCGAACGAGAGCTACAGTGATTTTTCTCGCTTCCTCCCAAACCGCCCCCGCCCCGTAGGCAGTTTTGACACTCAGGCAAGATGGCAGCCCGTAACGCAAAGCTCTCGATCTCGATGATCTTACGGAAAAATAGAGGACTGTGAACAGTCTATGTAGACAGTTTCAGTTTTATTTTGATTGGTTTACTTTCCTCTGTTCACCAACAACCGTAATGATCAGTTTCCAGCTACCATAGGTTTAATTTCAGTTTAGTATCATAACTACGTTTTATGGTGGACATACCCTAACACAAGATCCCCAAACTCTCCATCCAATATAACTTATTAGCGTGAGACGTATGTCAATAAACAGCTGATTATATTATAAATATTGCTCTTTCAAATGATTCCGAAAGTAAACACTTTTACCTTATATTTGTGTTGTGGGACTTGTTATCACAAGTCTATTCGCTTCCGGAGCTATTTCGAAGCTCGTTTTGCTCTTTTTAGTTCTTCGATCCCGTCATCAGTCCTGAATCCCGAATTCCCGAAGGTTATTTCCAACGTCCCAGGGGGAGGGTCCAGGAGGTCTGGACCCCCAATCAGACCTAATACTTGTTTGAGGCTGAAATTCGTACATCGAGAGGATCATTACCCCCGCAGGGATTTCGCCCAGAAAGCGTAATCCCGAGTAGGCACTCTGGTAGCTCGCGTGTATATTAAGGCGAGTACTTACAATTGAAATATATAGTTGGTTTGCCAGTCGATTTGCTTGAACAGGGGCCGCGAGGAATCGGTGGGAAATGTTGACGTTTCTATTGTTCGCACCCTCAAGTAAGAGATGGTTAGGATGACCAGGCTGTAGGATGACATTCTGTGGAGCAGCTGTTTTGAAAGACACTCGTTAAGCACATATGAAGTTATCTGGTGCGCATTTATACTGTTCCATGACTTCACCGTATAGACAGGGAGTAAGTTCTTATATTGTACACTGTCAGAGGTAGACATAATTTTCAGTCTTTTATCATTTTTGATCAACACCTCGCGCTACACGTCAAACACTACGTCTACGCGCCTACTGTGCGCCTTCTACCGGTCCTACTTACCATTTTAAACTCTATAAGCGACCTCATTGAACATAGCTCCAGATGAGATCTACAACTTCTGCAAGATTACCATATCATCGAACCTACTGGTTACGTTCTCTGGTTAATTCGTTGTGACCGTGATGCGTCGCTCTAGCTGTTGAGAGAGTCTGGATTTGCTTGTCTTTCGCAGGAGTCACTCAGGATAGGTAAGAGTCCAAGGAAGAGCTGGAGGACTCTTTTCATTGTGAAAACAACTAATATGATTATGATGAAACTGTCCGAGAAGTCAGCGGCCATCCAAGCAAAAAATCACGATCCATACTAAGAGGAAGTACTAGATCCTTGTTGCGAACCTTATGCACAGCGGCTTCAGCTTGGCTTTCCGTCACTGGATCAAGGTAATCTGAAGTGGGATTGGATGAGCATAGGCTCATTACAAAGTCATTCGCTGGCTACTTTCACTTGGTCGTTGCGGGCAGTCATTCATCACTTAATTCTGTGTGAATAAGCTTAGCGAGTTATGAATCTCTCTCGTTGGTGAAATAAGACAGTTCGCCTATTGCATTGATACTTGATGAGATGTGCGGCGAATTCACATTCAGCTGAAACCTCTGAAACTGATTCCGGATCATGATCTTTTCGAGGGATTCGACACACTTGCAATGCACTTTCAAAGTTTTCCATGATTTATTTACTTACTCTTTTCTGAAACAATTTTGTAAACCTCACAATTTTTTTCTAGTTATTATACAAAGGACATCGGGCAGTTATAATTTAGCACTTGAATAAACAGGAAGTCATGTTTCTAATTCCAATATGCTTTAAATCTACATTTCAAACGTGATTTGTTTACGTCAAAAAAATACTAGCACCTTTTGCAGCCTTCACCGAAATCCAAGATGGCGGCCAAAAGGGGGCAAATTTAAATTTCGATTTACCGTTTTACCCTTGCTATCATGCATTTTTGTGATGCTTTTTAGTCAATGATTAAGATTAGACATGTTTAGGCTGTTCCCCTTCAGTGAGCCTTAAACCCAAATTTTCGGGTCTCAGCTGATGGACCAATTGTATGGAATATGAGTGAAAATCTTCATTAATGAACGGTATTTTCAAAGAGCTACCAACGACCGGGTAATTGACAGACAAAATACAGAGGGGGCGGGGGGGGAGGCAGCTGTAGTGTCAACTGTTACTGGTTATATCACTTTTTAACTGGCTGATGTTTTTAAAGAAACGTGCGTTGCCGCGGGGAGTTTCAGTTTGTCACTAAATTAAATTCCAGGGATATTCCAAAATGTCGTAATCGTTTTTGGCAGGCGCGGATTTAGGATAAATACTTACCGATTTCCTAAACAAGGGCCGAAGCTTCTAGCGGGGTACGGGGTCATGCTCCCCCAGGAAATTTTTTGGATTTTAACTCCCTCAAGTCCCCTTTCCTGGGTTTCTGAGTCATTCAGATGGGATATTGGCCAGTTCAATTCTCCTCGGATAAAGTATTTGTCCAATCCATTTTCCAGATTTCAACCTGGAAAGTTTTTTTATTAAAAATATATTTATTATGAAAAATCTGACCGATTTCCGTAAAACGTTGGAAACCGGTCTGGGTCCGCGCCTGTTTGTGTACCCTCCTATGATCTGTTCGCCTCTGTTCGCAAAGCAGTATGGCCCCGCACCAACGGCGACCGGCGTTCACACGTCGAGAAACAAGTGGTCGTCTCTACTTTCTCAGCTGGTCACAAAAAAGTTCAACAGTCCCTTCTGAACCAAACTTTGGACCCCCCCGCCAAATCAAATTTTCCTGGATCTGCCACTGACGTCTCGCTTTCCGTGCATACATTCAATCCCGAAACACTGCGTGCATCCCCATTCTGCCTTAAAATCCGAATCCCAGCTTTCAAATATAAGGTAAACACCGGACTCCAAAAACCTATTGGGAAGCCTCTGTTTTGGTGAGTTCGTAGGTTGACATGACTCAAATGAGGTCTTAAATCAGTTCTAGTCTACTGAACTTATCCAATAAGAAATTAGTAATCGCTCCAGAAGCGAATAGTACTAAGTAACAGACACAACACAAAATCAATTTGAGTCATTTTCATTTCGAATCGTTTCAAAAGACACAAATTAGAGTATACAATTTGATTATTTCAGGCAGATTCTCTCATAAAGTTCGAATTCCAATCGCTCCCTTGACTCTGGGTTGTTGGCACTCTGTTTTTCATTCAAAAATGTGAATTTCGCCGTCGCCATGAACAAATTGCGACAAAGAAATCAGTTCATATGTTCGCTTTACTATAAAAGAAGCTAGATCTGCTAATTTGCCATGTCAACTACCTACTTTTTTATCTGTAGGGTCAATCAATTTCGTGCCAAACTCACCTTCAGTGATCCTCTGCTGGGCCGGTGTATAACATTCGCCTTTTTGGAAGTTATTTGAAGCTTTTTTGTCGGTCGGCAATTTAGGGCTTAATATATATCCGGAAACGTATTACACCGAATCGGCCCCTAATTTGAAAGGATGAAACCGTATCAGTTCTGCTTCAGAATCTGTAGAACGTTCTAGTATGTAAGCCGGCTTCCTTAATGATTGTCATATTTCTTTGCTGAGGGTCACTCCTTTGCACATATATTCATGTTCTTGTGTGCTGGCTAAGAGGGCATAATTTCAATTCACGAAAGTTTAAATACTATAGCTATTGTTAAATCAATTCAGATTAAACACTCCTATTATATTAAGTGCTAACCGTGTGATAAGCAAAGGTCAAAAATCATTTTCGGACAACTGATGGTAAGTATTGGATCCTTACAATTTTAAAAAAAGATTCATTTTTTTGTCAAATAATATAATACCGTATTTTACTGAGTTTATTAGTCGTAGTTCAGAAGGGGTTTCCACAATGCCAGTAGTAACATTAATAACAGCTGATCGCTTACAAGAGTGCTTACAAGGAGACCGGCGGCTTCGACTGTATATAATCCTGGCTATAGAGACGCAATATCTTCTCGAAACTTCGAACTGCGGTTAACTTTAATTCTAAATAGATTGAACGTTCAGTTATAATCGTTGCTCTGAAGAAGTCTAGCGATCAAAAAGTCTCTGGTTAACTAGGTAACGGTTGGATTCTTTACTTTGAATTAAATGATACAGAAAATCATTGCCCTGCTGGCTATATTAACACAAGAATTTAAAGATATAATGTGCTTGGTTCTAATGTGTCTATATTCATTCCCCGAAGTGTTTTCACTAAGCACGCAGAAAAAAACAATTTGACCTCTGACAGAGGTATTTCATAACCGTTTTTATACGATTCTTCCATACAGTTCTTATATTATATTTGAGCAGCTTTTCACCGATGATGATTCAAATCTAGTTATAGGTTTATATTTACTGCATTTAAATACGAGGTGCCGCATGCAGGTTATTTGGAAAATCCACAAAGGGTGTGTTTATTCTTTGAACCTCATATCTAAAAATGACGATAAATATTACTTTCTAATCTTCTTATCCGGGACAATTTAAACCGTATCGACCTTTTGCAACAATCAGTTTTACGGTGTTTTTCATTATAGTGATTTCTTCCGGAACTACGTACGGGAATAACGCACGTAGCATGATCCCCCCGTGTTGTGTTTCCTAGTAAACATGGCAAGTTTACAAAACCATTCATTTTTATGCCCAGGCAGTCGTGTTGATGGACAATGGACAGTAATTAAGACTTCCTGCATTTGAAAGACATTTTTAATCCGGGGGAGGGTCACTCACTGACGATGGATTTGACACTGTGTAAAGAATATAGTTTTCAAACAGCTTCGTCTGGGATTGTGTGGAATGGGCCTATAAAGGATTTAGGTGGGTCTAGAAAAGATTATCATCTGAGCATGATGTGAAGAAGTATAAGAAAATGAGTTTCTGGTTACTAGTTGGTGTCAGTACAAGCTATGAATATTTGTCCCTTAGTCTGGAAAAGGGTTGTAAAATACAGTCAATGTGATGTTTTCTTAACAGCAAGCTCCCACAGAAATCTTCATAGAGTACCCCCCGGCTTAAAAGATACAGATGAACATTGTAGAAGTTTCTGGTGATTTTGAACTGAATCTAGTTCTCAATGTTTTTTCTCGTCAAAGAAATTATTTTTGCAAGGTTCACATTCCGATTTAAGGTAAGCAAATAGCACAGTCGGTTCTGCTCCCAAGCCACATTTCAATTAATCGTTATTTGTCTATGCTCACAAGGTAGATTGATTGAAAAACCAATTACGTGTTTCTTGAAAAGATGGGTATAATACTGTAAGCTAATCAGTTCCAGACGAACTATTCAGTCCTGTGTTTTACACCATACTGCATGGTACAATCTTCGTTTTTCGCGAATTACTACGTGAATTGCTGCGTGAATTGTCAAAACTTGGCATAGTGCTATAGAGGTAAAAGTTATTATTAGTAGTGAGAATATAATTCAAAGAGAAGCAAACCTAATTCCATAGTTCAATGTGCAAGGAGCGTTCAAAGACAGTTAAAGAAGTTTACTTAGTAAGTTCTTCCGATCGAGATCGTAATATTATCAATGAGTTTGGCTGTGCGCTACTGAGCGTCTACAGTCATTGATTAGGATCACGGGTGAACACAGACTAAGCCCTATCGTTCATTGGACTTTGACTCACGCAGTCGAAGAACTGATTTGTATGCCTTGATAACACCTAACATTTATAAGTAACTGGAATGCAAACTTCGGTTCCTGACCTCTGGGTCGACCAAGGGGATTGTAAATTATATCCTATTATACTCGGAATAACAGGGTCACCCAACGACAATTTTTGAAAACTACCTGTTCGGAAGACGATTTGAGATCTAGAATTTTCGAAACATTTGTTGTTAAATTTCTTGCTTGAATACCTCTCCAAGGATTTTCGAACCTTCCAAAAATGGTATAATTGCCTATTTTTAACGGATTTGTCACCGTAAAAAGGTCACCTAGAATTTTCGGGAGCCTTTTTTCTGGCTGAAATTTTCGAAAAGGTAAGCCAATTTGATCCCTATAATTTTCGGATCACTAGACTTTCAGCTAGGAAATCTGAACAGATGAAAAATTTTTAGGGGATAAAAATATGCCTATATGTACCGTTTAAATACTAAAATACGTTCAACAGTGCTATGTTTAAGTGGTTTTGAACTATATTCTCGTTGGGTGCCACTGGAATAATTTAGCCAATACACTCCAGATTCTTTGATGCAAATAAAACTGCACAATTTCTCGAATTGACGCAAACTGAACTGAAAGAAGCCCCATATCATCGTGAACACATTTCCGGTTTTCAGGTGACACCCCTGTATATTACTGTATTACCAAAAATAGAGGCCGACCTTGTAAAACGGGTGAATATTTTTTGTACCGCGATAGATAATTCTGAACAATTTATGATTCTCAATTCTGGGCAGTAGCCAGCATCAAGAGCTGTCGCCGCGAAGATAATTAGTTCAGAAACAGTAATTTTTGCTAATTATTACAACAAAGCAATACGGCACTAAATTTTATTTGGCCTTGTTTTGAGCTGGTTGATTCTCCAAAGACTACATGTACCGAGTGGAACACACGAGTGCGAGTGAGTTTGTCTTGTGCAAAGAGGGAGATCGTGTGTTCTAGTTCCCGGCAAAAACAGCGCATGGGATGGGAACTGTTCATCATTTAGCCTCTCTATAGATCAGCATGTGGATTGTGATGCCCCAGAGACTAATCCTAACAGTTGTATCGGTTGAATTTTTTTTTATATTGATGACATAAAGCTTCATTAAAACTCCTGTTTTGTCATGTGCTGCCTGAGCCCTTAAAGCAATTTGACTTTTTTAACAAAGAAATGACAGGAGTATGAAAAGAGCTATTCAGTGGATGGTAGGTTGTTGTTAACAGAGCGGCGATGGTTTCAGTCAGGAAACTTTCAATAATAGCCTGTTACAATCTCTTAGAGAATGGCGACTAAAATGAAAGCAAACACGGAAATGGATGATTGAAGACTGAGGAAGACAGAGAGGCAGCAACCTTCTGATTCTTTCCATTATTCAATAAGTCATATTAGCATGCAGATATCAAGCGTCGCTATGGCAGGCTCTGCGTTTTTATTTGACTTGAAAAAAGACGAAAACAAAAACAACAATAACAGGGAGTTAAAAATGAACTGCTATTTAAAAGAATCTTTCAGTTTAAATGGGAATATTCACCAGTATATATAGAGGCGAATTTTGATCATCTAGATCCTCATATCAACTTCTCTGACGATGATCTTGCAAATAAAAGACCCATTTTTTCATTATGCATATGTTAAATATTTTTTTAATCGATTCAGTATTTCTCGTTTTTTTCTTTTTTTGCAGTTTTTTCTTTGCCACCTTACAGCTGTTATCGAAGTGATAAATTGCAAGGCAGCCAAGGTTAATTTCTGTTAGCCTGACCACAACCACCGCGCAAAAACCTACCATCAGAATGTATTCGCTGCGTGACATTTTAAGCGGTTATGTGAAGAAAGAGCGGAACGCGGAGGGATCACCTTGCAACGAACAAAGTAGCAAAACATTGTTCTCCAAAGAAACCTTTGAGTGTTCCATGGAAAATGGAAACCCTGTGTCTTCTCGTGCGTCTGACCTTGAACTTGGTCACCAAACTGATTCGTTACCAGACAACTTCGAATGGTCCAAAGAAAGTGGAAACCCTGCGCCTTTCCGTGCACGTGATTGTGGGCTTGATCACCAAACTGGTTCATCACCACTTACATCAACACATCTGTTATCTTTGCGAGAGAGAATAAGCCCAGAGGAATACTATTCTAATATTCGAAAACGCAATGTTCAAGGAATATTGCCTGACAAAAAAAGGTTCAAGGACGATTTAGTACACCGAAACAGAGAGACAATGACTTCAACTAGTTGTAGTACGGCAACTTTAATGGCACTTAAATCAGCTTATCGAGTACCCTTTTCCGGAGAAAAGAGCACTCAAGAAGATACCTATGATCAAATGAGCAACATGATGTCCAGTTACCAGAAAAATTCGCCACCTTTTAAATCAGCTAACAAGCCACTTCCTTCACGAGGCAATTTTTATGCCAAAGAGGACGAGTCACGGATTCAATTAAGCAAAGTTTATCAGAATCCGTACAATGCAAAAGCTGTGAAGGCTTTTATTGATGCTCTAACCAAAAAACAATGCCAATTTTCATTTAAACAAGGAAGTGACCAAACTTCTGGGCACAGCAAACACCAGGAAATGTTATCTGAAGAGCAGCCAATTAAACAGAATAGGAAAACGTTGTTCACAAATGGATCAGGCATTGTAAAAAGGAACCAGTTCACTAAATTAACCGCACCAAAAAGGGATTTGTCGAGGTCCCACCCGACCCGCGAGACAAGTAATTTTCAGAGTACAATGTTACCGAGGAGAGATCAATTTCCAGACATGGGTGCTACAAGCAAAAATGGGTCAGTCTACCCATATGAAACCGAGAATTATTCCTTTCACAATAGCTCCCTTGAAATTATTCCATGTTATCATGTTTACAATATAAGGCCCTCTACGCCAAATTCCCATTTCACAATCACACCACAACACTTCCGTGTCATGGAGGAAATCGCCCAACAGGACGACCCTGCGAATAAAATCGGGGTCTACAAGCCTGAAATATCTTTCCTCAATGAGAAGGGAAAGCAATGTTCGCAGAAATCTATCTGCGGGATATCAAAAAACCTCACAAGAAGCGGCGCCAGTAGTTGTCAGTGGTACCATCAGGAGCAGCCACGCCCCCACCCTGCACCGTGTGCAGAAAACCAACGCCCTTCAGTGATCATGGTTCCCGCAAGCTGGAGTAATATATCTTCCAGAGAATCCCATGTCCCACTGAAGGTAATTAATTCCAAAATATAACTTGGCAGTTCAAAGTTATCATAAGAAAGAGCTTAAAGAGTTCTTTTGAGCCTGGAGATTAAAGTGAAGCCCCACTCCTATTTTCACGGTTAGAATAACCACGAATTCTGCCTGCGCGCCATACTGGTATCCTCGTAGCACCCCAGGGAATTACAGACAATCGAGTGGAAGTCTCAGGGGAGTCCTTCTTTCTATTTTAGCCAGCTATCCCGCGATTTCAGTCTCTTTTGCCAAGTAAGGCCGTTCTTAGCCGGGTTATAATTTTGGGTTTACTACTCGGTGTAAAAACTCGTGAAGTTTTTATTTGGTTTCTAGCTATTCTTATTTTCCTTGGCTCTATTGTGTTGACCCCTCAGTGGCTTCTTTGTATTCATTGTTTTACGTCACTCGTGAGTTTCACAGGTTTTTACACCGTGGATGAGCAATAATTTTTTACCTCCCAACCTTCCCTTCGCGCGGTGTACCCTCCTTTCCATTCTCTGTCTTACTACCCTTTGCCTTTGCAAAATCTCGCTTCCCATAACTTATTTCGCGAACGCAGTGAGTGTTTATTCTGGTATACTAGATTCACCTCTTACTAGACCAAGATTCATTTCACATCTTGTTATTTTGTACTACTTACACGGTCTGCAAGAAGTTCCATTCTAATCACACCACACTATTTTTTTGTCTTGAAAAATCTTCATAATTGAGTCTTGAAGCCAGTCCAAGTAACAACTGAATACGTGCATGCATTTTTTTGACAACCATTCAATAAACTTACAGAAATGTTAGTTGCAATGTGATTCAAAAAATATAAATGGGAGACAAACCTGCCTACTATTAAAGTTCATTTTTATTAAAAGCTCTCTCCCTTTTCCAGGTAGATGCATCCTTTACTGAGCGGTCAGATGGGAAGAAGGTAAGTGCTCAAGCGGAGTTTTATCGTTTGTTTGTTCAGTTTATTTGAGAAAGGATTCATTAGCTTTGGCGCCGCCTAAAACGTAGCCTGAGAAAACAGCCTACATTTCGCCTGGCGACCACTGGTTTCCCGCCAAAATGACATCTGAGGAACGAGCGCAGAAATTCCATACTGATGACGTGTCACTACCCAGTACTTTCGATTCGTCCTGGTGCGAGGAAAATTTGCTTCAACCAATCAGAATCACTACCCAGATCTGTTTAGGGACACGTCATTGGTACGGCCTTTCTGAAGTCGTTCCTCAGACGTCATTTCGCGGGGAAAGCAGTCACAGTGACGTCAGCTGTAAATCGTAACAAACAATTTTTATCATATTTAGCTAGTCTTCTCACAAAGCAGTGTCTTTTTCATAGGATAACGTGGTCGATTTAGATTCATCTGACGATGATGATGGAGAAAAAGAAAAATACTTCCAAGTGAACATGGATGGAAAAACTGCATCTTTTAAGTTGACTAAAGAAGACTGGAACAGAATTCCAATAGGTACTTTTCCAAGCGGTGGGCGACTGCTTTCAGGGGACTGGCGAAAAATTTTCGTCAACAAAGTTAAAGAGAGCAACCCATGGTGCAGTCTGCGCTTCAAAAATAATCACGTGAGATCAGAAAACTCGCGCAAGATCTACTCAGCGGTCTTTTTCAGAGGGGCCGCAGAATGCAAGCGACCAGAGTGCAATGTGAAAGTGCGATTTGTTATCCAGAAAGAGAAAGGAAAATATGTGGATGTGATGTATGTGGGAAACGTGTGTCACAGCAGCGAGCCTGGAGGGAACAACTTCGTATCCTATACCTACGGGGCCAGGAGAGCACAAAATATGTGAATCATTTAACTTGAGAACGTTTTGTTGACAGGGTCCACCCATGTGCAACCACCAACTCTTCGTATATTGGGTGGTCGCTTATGGGAGCTTTGACCGTATTTCTGGTTAGGACATTACACAAATTGTTATGAGCAGTTTAACAAAATAGATAAAGAAAATAGTTAATTAAGTACTATGATGCTTCATGCGAAGTAGTGTTGATTATTCGCGTGGTTAAAATTGTCAATAATAGTAGTGTTGTTATATTTATTAATTTTTTCGATGCATGTTGACTAAAATGGAATGGTGATAATGACAATGACGATGTACTGTGTGCTGCGAGCAGTTGGTTCCCCCTCCAATGGACCCTCCGCCCCCAAGGGTGCGTGGCTTTCAGCGGAGAAAGTATTGGTTATGATGACGAAAGTAGACTGCAAAACAGTCCGTATTTTTGCGTATTCAAGTACACGCGAGCAGTCAAACAAAAGGTCTGGAACGAGGCTGAAAACAGAGAGCGAGACCTGGCGAGAGACGTCTCACACGTAAGACTCTTACGGCACGCTTTACCGATTTCTTGACTGATTTTGAGAAAAAAAACCGACTGTTTTGCAGTCTATGACGAAAGTTGATCATTTGCACAAAGTCTTCGAATTATTTTCATTTTATTGTCTGGACGTATCTTGACACTTTTTTTAACCAAGAGGGGATGTATTTTCAAAGCAGAGAGGGTACGGTTACCCCTGGCGCTAGAGTAACCCACGCCAAGGCCCCAAGCTGTTTCAACTTCAAATTGGCACAGTTATTGGACTTCATTGTGGAGGCCGGCTTTATCCCCACCATGATTGATATAGATAGTCAGAGAATTACTGATTCCATGAATACGCCTGCCGAATAAAAGGGAAAAGAGGACTCTGCTAGCAAGGAAAATTAATGAGAGCAAGCAATATTGACGTATATGAAGACATAGTAGACGGATAAAGCATGGCCGTAGTGTACAGACGGCCAACTGGTTTCTTTTGTGAATACCTTGACCTCAACAAAAGAAGCTAAGTGTTCTTGGAGGGTTCTTATCTATAGTTATTGAGATGCAGATTTTCATCAATTTAAATCGAAGACGGTAACTCAACATTAACACTTCCCAGAGTTCATTGCCTTTCACAGTGTCATCATCTCTGTGTTATAACTGAAAATAAAATGATGTTTTGGTAGAGCAAAGAGCTTTAACCAACAGAGTTAACAACTAAGTGTTTACAGTCATACGCCACAGACGTTTTGCGGACCTCACGGACGCCTTTCATATGAGATTATTTCCCGTCTTAGTGGAGCACAGTTGTTGAAAGGCCGGTTATGTCTAAGCCAGCAGGTCCCCGGTTATCAACAGGGAGTACCCTGTGGGTAAGCATTTGGGGGGAGTCGCGAGAATTCGTGGGCGAGGGAAAGAGGAGTTACCGACACAACTCTCTTAGGGCCTGATTAGCCCGGTTTGCCACTTGGCCGAGATCTCTAAAGCTTAGTTAAATGCAACGAAAATCAACTGTCATTACATGACAACCCAGCCAGCCCTGACAAAGGTGCCTAGCCCGGCAAGCATTGTCGTATAAATTTTTGCCTATTCTTTAACCTAGCTAGGCCATCATTAAAGTGTTGTCCCATCTCAGTCTTTCTCTTTCTGACGATAATTATTTCATAGCATCGGGCATGTTGCGTGACCAGTGCGAAAAACAATTTCCTCAAGGCTGGTTTCCATAGAATCGATACGATCGCTAAAAGAACTTCCCCAAGGCTGGTTTCCATAAAAACGATGCGGGTGTCCATAGAGATCAGCAGCGCCGCTTTGAGAGTGCGTTGCAATTTCTTACCTTACAAAGAGAAAAAAATTTGCAAAATTCGTAGAAGGTTTCTAACGAAAGATCGTTAAGTTTGTAAATTTTGTAATTTTCGGAAGGCCATAGCACAGGGTGTGAAAGGGTATTTTCGGGATCCGGGATTTGGTGAAAATACGGTGCGGGACTCTGGAAAACGTAAAATATCTTGACGGGAAACGGGATTCTGCAAAGGGAAGGGAGAAGAGAGGAAGACTCCCGCCGCTTTCCTTTTTCCCATCACACTGCGTGTGCCACTAAGGAGAACTGAGTTGTGAGAGACGACTGGGAATGAGTCAGAAGCGAAGTGGAAATCTTGTACTTGGAGGCCATTACACCGGGGTCAAATGTCTGATACACTATTTGCTTTACTTAGTGGGATGAGTTGATTCATCTGTAGTGGAAGCATAAGAAAGGATGCATATTTAATAGTTAAAGTAACAATTTTCTCGTTTCTCAAAGTAACGATTTTTTGAGCAGTTCAGTTTTATTGAACTTTGACCGACGAAAATGACAATGAAAGTATTGTCAGTCTACAAACTGGGAAACTGCCCTCTTTCAGCTGTACCCCATCCCTAACCCAGTGTTACCACTAACTTCATAAGGAGGGTAAATTGTTGGGTCGGAGTGGTAGTAGGTGAACAATTTTGCAAAAAATTATAAGGATCCAAGTATTTTGCTTAGCTTTTGCAAATAGCTATTATTTTTCTATGGTCAGGGAGGCCATAGGTTGATAACCATAATCATTGCAAAGCCTGATTTTTTTCACTGTCCCAAACTTTTAACTTTGATCTGTTTTAACAAGTCCAGGTGTTTGCAGTTTTATACATGGGTATACAGTACAATTCACTCCGCTGAAAACTCTTGGCGTAGAATCCTTTTCTCTTCCTCCACATAACTCTTTCCTCGTGCAGATTGCCCTTGATCTCGTTTCCTCTTCTCCTTTTGTCTGAAATTTTCTGTTTTTTGCTTCTTTGGAGCACTTTCCTCTAAAACAGCAAAATAAGTATGGATGTCAGCACTGTAAGTTAAGTTTGATGAGACTTTTCATTCTATAGAATGATGCTAGCAATGGACATGATTTTACTGTTTTACTTGGTAATTTTGATGTTAACAAGCTAATGCATCAGTCAATTCCAGCTGCACCCATGCCCCCCTCCCCCCTCCCCAAGGGTAAGCCCTGGGCATTCACAATTTTTTGTCTTGGATAGCAAATTCCCAAGGGTGGGTGCCAAATGTCAGCAATGGGGATCATTGATTGAACAGTCAATTAGTGCCACATAAAGCATTCTAATTAGTGGTTTTCGTTTCAGTTAACGTCTGCCTTTCTAGCACTTATTAAGACTTCACATGCAAATACACCACTTCATGATTCTTATTTTAATGTTACTTATCTTGATTTAAATAGTTTATTGCCTTGGTAAAAATAAATTGACATTAAAATTTATAATAGTGTGCCATAAAGTTATCTGTTCTGAATAGTTAAATAATATGAATAGATAGATCATAATAGATCATAGTAGTATTAGTAGAATCATCACTACTAAATATTCAAATCCTACCCAAAAAAATACCTTGACTCACATCAATAGCTTCCGATTTCGCTCTGTAATTCTAACTTGATAAACAATGGAGAAATGCATGCATAAAATTGAGAAAATATGCCTTCAAAAATCTCCACAAGATTTTCCTGTCCTTGGCAGGTGAACCAATTTGCCAATCTCTGATCTGCTTGTATTTCAGTAAAATCCTCCATGTTACGTTTAGTTATGTTTGGATACCGCATGTGCGTCAAAAACTTGGGGGCCCTGGGGTTGGCAAATGCCCAACCCCCAGGACACGCAAAATTTGCTAATGCCCAACCCCTAGACTGATAAGGCAAGCAAATGCCCCGCGGTAGCCGGGGGGTGGGGTGGGGAGGGGCACAGCTGTAACTGACTGATGCATAACAAAGAGTACAATGTAGTTGTATGTTGTCCAAAATATAAAAAAACACTGCCCGCTTGCGTTGTTTTTGATACACACCTTTTCTTCTGGAAATTATGCTAACAAAATATCATTTAGCATACGAGCATAACTTAACTCATATAAGATCGAAGGAAGGGCTGTTTCAAAGGTCACCCGCCCCTGTCTCACTTCCGTTATGGCGACTGCAAATTGTCAAGAGTCACAGTGTATTCTGGAGCGTTCCCTTAAGTCTCACCTCTGTCGTTCAATATGTTCAGAGCAGCGGTTACAGATCGCTTTTCGTGAACAACCAGATGTTTTTGTATATCAGACATCTCTTTACCATATTTCACAGGAGCAGACGAGATAACAGCGTCCTCGTATTCTTCGCTGTCTCTGCTCTCTGCTACAGAAGTAAACTGCACGGGTGGAGCTGA